TTAGGCCGCAGCGCTCTGCCTGCCTTCTGTTTATCAGACACTGAATAACACCTCTGTAATCTGTGAGCAAAACGCACCTACGTTTGTTTGTATTCTCTATTATTACACCAAAAATGTTGGAAATGCAAGGAGTTATTGAAGTTTACGTTTCTGTTGTTAAGGAGATATGTTAGGTAACAATAGCGGAACACAGTTCATTGCATTTATTTTCTCACTTATTTCAAGTCTGTCTTAAAACATACACACACATACTAAAATGCCCACATGCAAATTGAAATGTTTTTTGCTTGCTGTACTTGTTCCTGGTCGGTCCTGGGTCTGTGCAAAGTACATTTAATTGTTGAGCCAAAGCTAATGAAAATTTTTAATTCAATTTTTTTTTTTTTATTTTCTATACTATATTGATCCCGTTAAGGGGGAAATTTGTCTCTGCATTTGACCCATCCCTGTGTATAGGGAGCAGTGGGCTGCCAATGACAGGCGCCCGGGGAGCCGGGGGTTCAGTGTATTGCTCAGGTACACTTGATATTAATATGAGGCTTCTGCAGTCTTGGTGGACTAATTGAACCATCTTTGGCTAAAATTTAGTATGCATTGTTGTCCCTCATGTCGGCAACCTGAAAAGTGAAGTCTATGCGGAGGTGCCTTAAACGTGCATTCTTTCTAATAGCAACTCGTCTGGTTGCAAAAATAAGTCAGATTGTTTCGGAGTCTATGAGAAAATGACTCTACTTCACACTTGATTTATTACCTCAGTAAACTTTGTAAACTTGAGTTTATGTTCTCAATCTCTACTTTCAAATCTGCTTCAATACAGCATGATGTTCATTTAGTAAATGACGTTCCCCTTTAGAGTAAGTAGACGATAAAGAAGCATATGCTTTGGGGCGTGGCTACCTTGTGATTGACAGGTCGCTACGACGGCGTTGTCCATTCTCCCTGAATGTCTGTGTTTTCATCTTACAACTTTTACCCTTTCACAGTGTGTTTTTGTTCTGAAATGCTATGTAGTCGATTAGTTATTTTATGTCTACAATTTTGTCCAAACAAAAGTACAAAACTGATAAATAATCAGTTTGAAATTGTATAAAACATAAAAAGCAGTGAAGATTTGAGAACCAAAACCAGGAATTATTTGGAATTTTTGCTTTATGTAGAAGATTTTTATTTAAATAAATGTCTGTAGAGTCACTACCTTCCGCCGTGTGAGGTAACACAAAGGATACCGAGCTAATGGCCGACTGTTGAAAGCGATGAAGTGAGATCCAAACACACACCTGCAATTACCGCTTATCGCCGTTCAAGATTTCACCTTTAATAAGTCACACAAATTGTTAAGTTTTCTGTCCATCCATCTTTTGTAATATTTGATACGTGACTTTACATACATTTGTCATGTTGTGATGTATAATATCACCTGGAGACGCATACAATACTCCTCCGCATTGCATGCGTTTGAGTATTCTCCCACTGTTCAGTACACAAATGCACATTTAGTTCCGTTCTGCTGTTGGTTTTAATGTGGTGTCACTAAGTTCTTAGTATATTTGTTGGGGCAGCAGTTGCAACACATTCTCACTGACGGGGCAAAAGCTGCTGTCGTAAACTCTGCAGAACGTTCTGATGGCACGGCGGGAGCCCACCTGTGTAAAGCCACATCAAAGAGATCACCCTAATGTAAGACTTCAAATATGTTTCTATCAATGCTTTTGAGTGTGCCACATGCTTACATTTACCACACATAAGTGCACAGGCTGGATGCAGATGGGCACACCACAGCTGAAAGCATTGCAGACATTCTTTTGGCTCGAGGGATTTTAAAGGCTCATCATACAAAGATGTACTCACCCTACAGTGGCAAGTTTCCCTGATTCAGGGCTCCTCTCACTCATGCATTTGTTTGACTGAGGTCTTGATTTCAAAATAAAATAAATTGGCAATGAGGTAATAATTTAAAATTATGTTCATATTTTTCTTGTGCACATTCAGATGTTCTGCAACAAGCTACAAGTTTTCCCTGTAGAAAGAGTTTGTCACATATATTGTAGTGGTTTTCAGCATAAATTGAAATCTTGGGAAATACGCTAACATGCTTAAAGAGTTAGATTAGCAGATTGATACCACCCTGTCTGTTGGCTTAACTTCACAGACTGCAAATGTTTGTTTTTGTAGTAGTGAATTAGTGACCTTTGGAGCTGCTGGAAGGCAAATGTCTTTCTTTTGCCTTTGGGCGGAGCCAGGCTAGCTGTTTCCATCTGCTTCCACTCTTTATGCTAAGCTAACTGGCTGCTGGCTCTCGCCTCAAATGTATTAGTATTTAGAAAATATGACAATATCATATAAATAATCCAGCTCCTGTTGAATCATTTTTATACAGTGATGGTTGCATAATCTCTCTTCACCTCCCTTCACTCGACTTTTGAGAGTAATTAATTTCCCAAGAAAGATACGAAATGCGTAATCAACAAAGTTAAACATGAATTTACATGTATAAGCGGAGTCTGTAAATGCGTACATCGGGAATGGATGAACCAATCCCGATGAAAGTCTTTGCGACATGCCACATCTTGCTCCCCTGGCCTGAGGAGAAGAGAGGGGACTACATGTTTTGTACTTATCCGTCTCACTCATTTATTTTCTTACATCAATTTTTTGTGAAAGTTGCAACATGCACATATACATATGTACGTGCATATTTACAACAGCATGAAATCACTGTTAAGCCATACTTGCTCCATGCCAAAGGGGCTGTTTAACATCACGTGACTTTGCTCATATTGCAGTGGTGACATTTTCCTTGGGCTAAATGCAATGCAGCTATAGTGTTTAAGCAAACAGTGTGACAAGTTGAAGAAGAACAGTCCAAAAGAAAGACATGGAGCTCAAAGACAGTGATGGAATTTAATACAATTTAAAACTTTGAATTTTGTCTTTGCATTGTTCAAAACTTTAAAGTGGAGCGTATGTCAGCCATGATCAAGTGCTGTGACGTTACTAGTCTACATTAGTGACACTTTCAAGGCAATTCCACAGACTCAACAATGGAGCAGGCGCTGGCATCACACAAAACGTCCCTGCAGACATTGGGGGGGGGGCAGGACCAGCCCCCCTGTGACGCAGCTCTCCCTTTCCCTGTGTCCACTCACGCCTTGGCAGTGCAGCTGAGGGGCTTGAGTACTACAGCTGTGTTGACAAGAGAGCCACGACGTGGAGTTTTAAGTTCCCGGGAACAATGAATGCACAGGTCAAGAAAGCAAAAACAATGGAAGCAGCTATAGACTGAAAGTACAATTGAGGTTTCAATGTCATGTGTTCTTTGGGAAAGATTTATTAGTCACTCAGTAGCCATGCTTTCCGTTTCCTTAGTTACTGGCCCTGTGTAGCTTCTATTTTTAGAGCCTCCTCCCCATATTCAATCATTTATACTTTAGAGGGTATCTGGCGCTACTGCTTCCTGTGCAGGAAGCGGAAGGGAGTGGGTGGGATGGGGGGGTTTTGAGGGATGCATGGTCTTGTCTCCCCTCTGTAGTCCATGTTTCATCTGCCTTCCGTTTCAGCGTGTGCCCCTCCTCTGTAAGGTTCTGCACCAAAGCACAGAGTAAACATTAACCACACCACATTTCAAATGTTATGTTTGCCAGTCCCACAGAGTCCCTTTCTGCTGTGCAGGAACAAGTTAACATTGCTGCACAATTGCTGGGTACACAGAGAACTTCTCATTTGTTGCTTAACAGCATTATGTACTGTGTTCTACTTCAAATTGAACACACGGGGTTCTTCTTGCATTAGAAGCAGTTCCTCTGTCTTGATTTTCTTTTAACAAATTATATTTTTTGCAGAAAAACTGGTTTTGGCTGCTTTCCCTTTATGCTCTGCAGACAGTGCAAAAAAAAAAATAGCATCTGAGCCGCTTCCACTTCAAGTGGTTGAGGGAGTGATGTAATGAGCCAGTAAAGCAAACCATTGTGTCCTGGAAGTGGGAATTGTGAAACAGGAGTATAGGTTGAGCCACACAGCTTTTACGCACATTGAGTCAATTACAAAGTCAACTGTCTGACACTTCTGGGAAGTTGCACAACAAATAGACATTGGTGCGGGAAAAATCTTAGTAACTTCTCCACCTGCAACATTGGGCAAAGTTGCTCAATCATTAAACTAAGGGGTGCAACCTAAGAAGCAGCTGCGATCATTTTTTAATGTCAATCTGTCAGTCGGTCCAACATTTTGATCAAGACTGAAATGTCTAACAAATATTAGATGTCTTGCTAGAGGATGAATCCTATTGATGCAAGTTATTCCCTTACTTTTCCTCCGGCATCACCAGTTGGGCAAAGTTTTCACTTGCGTTGTGAAATTAGTAGATAGATTGGCACAGAATGTCCCTCACGGGATGATTGATTTGGTGATGTCTGACTTTTCATCTACCACCATCATGTCAAATTTGTTATTTGTCCAATTCCTTTTCTTCAAAGTTAGATGGATTTTCTTAACGACAGGAAGAAATAATCTCATCATCATCTCATCTCTCATAAATATCTTGTAACTGTCATACATGTTCCAATAATACCTTAACCTTAGATGTCATATGTGTACCACTAACCTATAGGCAGCTACTACGATGAATGTTTAAAATGGGATGGATTACAAACCGCTTCAAGCTAGGTAGAAACAGATCTTGATATCTAAATAGAGTTATTAGTAACCAATAAGACACCAATAAGAACATCAATTTTAAGTAAATCAACTTAGATGCTGATAAGATTAATTAATTTGTTCACTTTGTGCAAAGACAGTTATCATGCCTCAGCATCATGACTCTCTGGAACATCTTGTTGCCAGGAATCGTTTGAATAGATTTATTACGCTGCGGCTTTATTGGTTTCCTTTGTGCAAATACCAACTGCATCTCCACACACTAATTTATGTAAGTAGAGCAAGTGTAAAGATATATATATATATATATATATATATATATATACACATGTTTTTTTCTAAACCAGGTTTGAACACAGCTGTCCAAAGTCTGCGATGTCATCGAAAATGCACAACGCCAGCCGCATAGCTCATGCCAGACGGACGGTGCAGCAGCTGAGGATAGAGGCCAGCATCGAGAGGATAAAGGTGCCTTTATGTTCTCTTGAGTGTCCTGCTTCTACTTCTCTATGTCAAGGTAGATGAGTGGGTGGACTGAATTATTACTTTTTCCACAGGTGTCCAAGGCTTCATCAGACCTGATGCGCTACTGTGGAGAACATGCCAAGAATGACCCGCTGCTCATGGGCATCGCCACTTCAGAAAACCCTTTCAAGGACAAGAAGCCTTGCACTGTTTTGTAGGGGAACACCTGAACCCTTGCTGCTTTCCTTTTTCATTCTTATGTGGGGAAAAAAAGATGGAAGTAATACTGTTCACAACTTCTCTTAAGGCCAGTGGCCAAAGATAAGGTAAAAATAATAACAAAACAACATCACGTAACAACCGTAACAAAACTACCGTGAATAAATAACAAGCACCAAATGTAACAACGTCAAACAAAATGCAAAAAAATGTCCCCATTCAACATATCCCGTGGTTTACAGAAACGTACAATGGCAACACTTTTTCCCTGGCAAAAAAATGCAGTTACACCAAAGAACAAGCAGAAGTCTGAAGCTGAAGCCTGAGTGGAGCTGTGCCATGCATAGCAGAGTTCCTGACCCACTAATTATCACAGCGCACATAAACAAGCGCCCTCAACCATTGGTCCAATCAGATTTAGGCTTTAAGCTTTCACCTCTTACTTACATCAGGCTTGCTTCCGGAAACAGTTGTTGTAGGTTGTGTGCTACTGATAATGAGCGCCCGAGATAATGATATCCTGTCGGCAGGCGAGCACACTGAGCCGTCCGTCACATGGAGACAAAGAGAAAAGAGCGGAGGTCCACTTATGAACAGCTCTTGCTTTATTTTATGTCATATGGTCACAATCATAATAGTCTTTAAAAATTGCCCATTAAATTGTTCCTTTTTTTTATTTGAGCACAGACAAAGCAATCAAATTGTCCTCACATGTGTAATTCAACCTTTCCAGAGACAAACCAACCATTCACTTAAAATGTCGATTGGATTTTGATTTTTAAGATATTGAGGATTGCTTTTGCCAGTGTTAGGATATAGAGTTCGCTTACAGTGTAGATCCAGAATTTGGGGAATTCAGTTGTTCCTTCGAGCTACTTGAATTCCTGTTACAGACTTTCAATGCTCACATCAATTGAATCCAATGCAAAGCTATTAAATAGGATTACTGTGATGTCTAAATTGTGAAATTTGAATACCAGAGTGACACATTCTCTTGACAAAACAGTCCAACTGTGTCTTTTTTACTATTTTTTCTCCCGCATTTGCCTTCATAAATGAATGTACAACTCAGTCCAACTATCTCTAAAAATGAAATATGTACAGATAAAAGTACCGGTATCATCTTTTCGGATCGCTGCACGTTGTGCTTGACCCTTTTGGTATTCCTTCATTTATATATTTCCTTCCATTATTGCTGGAAATAAAGATTCAAAACAACTCAGTGCCATCTTATCAGATCCAGCTATTTAATGTCACTGTGTTCTGTCTGCAGAGCCGAGGCTTACAACTGCACTATTCGGCCACTTGGAAAGCTCTTAACACCAGATGACTGTTATAACACTAGATGACTGTTATACTTCTTGAGTTTGAAACATTCCATGTTTACAACTGCTCTAAAATGTACTTTTTATTTTGGCTTTTATTATGAGAACCTACGTCTGACATTATGTCTTTTGTGTGTTGGTGCTCGTACAAAACATTAACTAATATTACCAGCCAGGGCCTTAATGGTGGAGTGATTATGCTTCAACCTACAACTACCTTTTAGTCACATAAGTGCTGTTGTCTTACACTGTGAAGATGGAAGGCCCATTGGTGAAGGGAGTATATCTCATATTTCAAAATGACTCATGTTCAATAATTAATTGCATTAAAGGAACAGTGTGTAGCATTTAAAGGGAGATATGGCAGAAATAAAATATACTATTAATAAGTATATTTTCTTTAGTGTGTAATCACCTGGAAATAAGAATCGCTGTGATTCCGTTACCTTACAATGAGCCGTTTACATCTAAATCGGGAATAGGTCCTCTTCACGGAGTCTGCCGTGTTCCTATGGTATCCAAGAACATACGGACAAACCGCACACTGGCTCTAGATTGGGTCGTTTGCGTTCCCGCGTTGGCCACCGTAGTTCTTCTACTCGCTTTTCACACGGGAGACGTTTCGGTTGATTGCAATCTGCAACCTCACTGCTAGATGCCGCCAAATCCTACACACTGCCCATTGTAAGATACATCTCATACGTCCATAAATATTGTATCGCAATATGTCTATGAACCACAGCATGTGCTTGCTTTAGCTGTTTAATGTACGTGATAGAATTGTAGTGATTCAGTCAAACCTAAAATTAAAATTCAATGTGTGGTTTTTGGCTAATGATGTCTTTGGTTGATTTTTACTAGTGAATATGAATTTGTGTTTTTAGTATAAAAACAAAATGTATGTGGTTTCTCATACCTGGTCTGTGTAGTAACAGCTTACTGTGTGTCATGTTCTGCCTTTACCTGGTTGTGGTAAATGCAAATAAACACATGGAAAACAAGTACTTGTTTTTTTTCCAACTCACGGAAGATGAAAGAAAAAGACTAAACCTGGCATGAAAAGCAGATATTTTGACAGTCTTGGTTTTTAAACCAGATTATTGGATGAAGTTATGTTCTGTAAATTGTATAAGTATTTGAGAAGAGTGTGTGGTATACATGCATGTATTTGTTTGAATGTGAAATAGCCATTTGTATGAATTACGCGACACCCATTAAGTATTATCACAGCTGTGCAGTTCTCCTCCTTTACGGCATCAACTTTATTTACTACATTTATTTATTCATAACAGTGGAAAACTGACAGTGCACTATAGTTAGCAACTAGCAGTGGAGCATTTAGATATCTTAGGTGGAGCTAAAAGTGGAATGAAAAAGTTGGACTTTCATCCATCCGGTGGACCGTAACACAACTCCAATTCAGGCAATTCATATCATTACATTTTTACATTACATTACAGTCATTTAGCAGACGCTTTTATCCAAAGTGACTTACAATTCAGATTCTGTCACATTTATACACCGTAGGCACAGCTACGGGAGCAATTTTGGGGTTAAGTGTCTTGCTCAAGGACACATCGACATACGACTAGCGGAGCTGGAGCTGGGGATCGAGCCGCCGACCCTCTGATTGAGGGACGGTCCTGCTCTCCACTTAGCCACAGTCAACCTTTTAATATGAAAGTATGTCATTGTTCTCGTCTTGTTCTACTTTAAAATGAAACTCATAGGCACTTGGTTCTGTTTCGAGGTTAGCTCAGTTTAGTCTTCTTGTTCCCAGCTACATTAAACTTCACTGATGTGTTCAGGTGCCCTGTGGCTTCACTTCCTGGGAGAGTTCACACTGGAAAAACTGGATACTCCACTCGAGTATCTAGCAATTACACGCAGCATGCTTTCTGCCGGTGGTTATGATTTACAGTGTGTATTATGCGGTTAGTAACACTTCCCTGCCCAAAGTGAGAAGGAGATACATATTCAATTAAAACTACTCTGACCTCATTTGCACTCATTGGCCTATTAGTCACGAACTAGTCCCGTGTGTTCACCGATTTTCATTCCTTTGTTGGATTCACAGGTTGCCATGTTCAAACAAGAGGATGAGTGTCCCCAGTATCAGGTCAGGAACACGTAAACATTCTTGTTTGCTCTAATTTCTCAGTGAAGCTTTTTTTTGTGCCCCTGAGCCCTGCCCAGTCTGTTATGCAATAACAGCTCCCAGCAGCCCTTTCCTCTCCTTCCTCAGTCTCCTCATGGTGTGATGTTACACCCACAATCAGGTCAGGCCATATTTGTTGGCCCACATTGATGTTACTCTCACTGGAGTCAGATGATGGATAGCGCTGGCTTTGTAGCAGCGATTGTATTACCTGTCCGGTGCAGTGGAGGAGCTCTGGGATAAGCTGTTAAAATCAGTATCTCCAGTATCTCACCTACTTTTAGTGGCCCCTCCCTTTGTGACAGGAAGGCTTCGGTCAATGGGGGGGGTGAGCCAATTATCAAATTGGCTCACTTTAGACTCACCCTGCTCAGGTATTTCTGGTTTTATTGTTCCACTTTCATTGGAACAAATCAAATGCCAAACTTCACTTTGTTTCTGTTCTGCTGATTGCCTTGACTTCCTTAAAGAAAGACAGCAGCAAAACCTCAGTGTCATTGGAAAAAAATGTGTTCTTTCACAGACTCTGGCGCTGGGACTCTAATATCAACTCAAGTGGAGTGCAGATCTGCCGGTTTCCACTCTGTGCACATTTGATCACATTTGCAAACTGCAGCCTCAGTCAATTCAACACAAACCCTCGGGCCTCTCTGCCCCGGCTCACTCTCTCCTCTTCCAGCCAGTCCTGCGTTTTGACCCACTTTTTCGCTCCCCATCTGCTGTCCGCCACCTGATAGGACCGCCAGAGACGATTGTTGTGCTCTTGATATCCCCGGCTGACACCCTTCGCGGCAGGTCAGCCTCTCTGCGTCCGCTGCCTGTTAATTACAAGTGCCACTATTGTCAGTGTGTCAGTGGTCAGGGGGAAGGCCTCTATTCACGTGGGCTATTTTTGCCGTGAAGCTAAAGCACTGTACAGCTCTAGCAATGGAGACCTGAATAGCCCTGACTCATGCATGCATTGTCTTGTGACCCCACTGTGTAGAAGGCTTTGTCCCTCCCCACTCTGTGCACAAGCACCAAGAATTTCTGGTTTTCTCTTTTTTGCACAGTGTGAAACGGGTCTTCAATGTTTTTTTTCTTCCTTCTTGCCTGTGCTATTTTTAATCCACTCAGCAGTAAATTTGGCTCACATTGCGTAGCTACAGAAAGCTGTGACGAATAAGCCGTCACGATGAGCCCAATCCCACTCAGATTCCTACTGCAGTGGGAATTCTCCTCCCCTCAATGTAACTACATCCTCAATATATGCAAAAGGTCACATTTTACCAGTTTCCATGTGGGAGCAAAGCGGATTTCAAGGAATCTCATGCCTGCAGCATCTTATCTGATTCTTATCTGCAAACTTATCTGATTACACATCAATGCATAGATGATCATAATACAGTAATGCATATTATTCTAAAATGGGCCACTCTGTATGTGTACTTTTACTTTTGGTACTTTAAAGAATATTTTCACACTGTGGTATTACTTCTAAATAGTAAGCAAATTAAAAAGATCCGAGTACTTCTTCCACCATTGACTGCAGCAGATTTAGAACATAATAGATGTGAAGTTGTAAAGAACAACATTTTTGAATCCGCAGTCAGGTAAAAAAAAGGCGGCAATTATAACGGACTACCAAAAACAACCAAAACATTATCTTGCTTTCGGTCCAAGAGACACAAGCTGCAGAAAAGGTTAGTAATGTGTAGAGTAAATACTTCAAGCTGCCGAATGGGTCACGTTGCAGGACAGAAATCCACACTCAGCGGGGCAGCATGTTGAGCTTTTAATGTGCAAAAGGGACACACTGTTCTTCAGGACACCCTGTGACTTCCTGCAAGCACACTAGACCTGTAGTACGTGAAAATCATGGAGCCAGAACCACCCTGTGAACTGTTGTTTGTTTATTTCATTCAACGTAACAAGGCAGAATTCCATGAACAATAAATATAATTCCTTAAATTAATAATGCACAACATCAGTTAGTGGACAGGTCTAAACATTGCGTTGCCCTTAAAATAATAATAGTTAACTGTGAAAACTTTCCCTTTTGAGTTATCAAAGTGACACGTCTTAAATACAATTAAATAAATGTGCTGTTAAAAGAAATGCTTGGATTTGGTCAAATTTTCATGAGGAATTCTTCAAGCTGAGCGCTCCGATCGGTCCACTCCAGCATGGTCCAGTTCTTGGGAGTCAACTGAGACTCTGTGTCTGCTGTCCTGCGCCTGTGCTCACCACCACGTGTGCTTGTCCGCTCACGAGGTTCAGTTTCCTGTGAAGGCTTCTTTCTCGGCAGAGAAAGGTGCAGTCATACATTGGAAATCCTGGAACCCAGACTGCTGAGTCACTCTTTCTTGGCCCACATGTTCACCCTGACTCGTAAATTGTTGTAACGTTTTGCTTCCTTGTGTTCTTTTTTTCTGCCCCTCCCGTCTCTCTCTCTCTCTCTCTGTCTCTGTCTCTCCGGGGCATTTCCAAAAAGGAGTCCAACACAGACATTAACACAGGCCTGGTGCAGTTACTTTTCCCCCAATGCACACAATACATTAATAATCCAAGCAGTTTCATCGGTCGGGCAGGTTGATGACAGGCACCCACTGATCCAAACAGCGGCTTTCTCTGCAGAATCTGGTCACTTTGCTCAGCGCCGGGTCCTTCCACAGCGACGACTGGGGATTCTGCAGGAGAAGGGACAAAGCATGTTAACATCTGCTGATTCGTGGAATGTGCAAAACAGACGGAAATGATTCTGATCGTAAAAACCAATGCAGGCAACTGCTCCTTGCAAGCATCGGCAATGAACTGCGTACTAAAACTAACGCAGTGAGGGCTTTTTTTCCAGTCTGGTGGAAGTGAGCAACACACAGCAGCACTGTAGCTGACAGACATGAGTAACGACACTTACGGTAACTAGAACACAGTGCAGGTCCGTGGGCTCCCCTCCAGCTTTCACTCCTCCCAGTATTTCTGCCAGACGCTGCATGTTGCTCACCCGCAGGATGTTGATGTCATTCTCGCAGCAGAAAGCCTGGATCAGGGTGAAATGAATCTGGAGAGCCACATCCTCCTCATCGTCGGTGGCCAGCAGACACAACACCACATTGTCTGGGTCCCTAGAATAGCAAAGACAAGCAAAAAAAGAGTTGTGAGGAAATGAGTCTCACGTTTTTTTTTACTAACTTTGAGCTGACGTTAAGAGTAACGTTAGTTATCTTATTTTTGACTTACGCATTTAGGGACTTTGCTGCCTCGTAGACGCCAACGGTGGTGCAACCCTGAGGCAACGCGGAGCTCAGGACCTCCTCTAGCGCTTTAGCCACCGAGTCCATCCTGAGGAAGCAGACAGTAATACGTTTATTAAAAACACACCAAACACTTAAAACAACTTAATAGCTGACTTGTCATTTCACAAAACATGTCCCATGTTATTCATTAATTATATTCGCACACAGAAACGCGTAGAGGCATGACAATATGAACATGTCTGCATTATTAATGCAGTTTAAACACTGAAATAATGAACACGTAGCGTTCACGCTAGCTTAAACAACGGACATTAGCATAACTAGTTCGGTTGACGCACGAGACACCTTAGCAGTGTTAACTAGCTCACCTTAACGTTACAGTAACGTTATATCAGAACAAAATAATACCGCTGAATGACAAGCAGAACTGTCAGTATGAGAGAACCCTCTCTTTACACACTTAAATTAAACTGTCCTGCGAAAGGTCTTTGCAACGGTTTAAAAAAAATATCGTCCAGTCGGGACATTCACATCAAAAACAAGTTAGAACCAAATGAATGCAAAGAAAAGGTGCAAAAAGTGAAACAACGGAGGCTAACCTTTCTGACGAATTATCTCCACTGGTTTCTTCAAAAGTCATATTGCACATCCGAGCGGGTGGGTAGGACTGTATAATATCCAGAGCAAAAAAAGTGACTCCTTCTGTGTGCTGAGATGCTCCCCGTGTGCCGGTTGCTGTGTGCCAGTCCAACGTTTCTAGTAGTAAAATCTACTGGCCCCGCTGCTCATTTGCATAAACCGGTCCCGTTGGTCACGTGGAAAGGCACGGTTCATTTGCACCTTTGTCTTTGTGAGTATAGCGACGCCCTGTGGCTGTGACCGGCACTACTTCCCACAGTCGATCACAAAATAATTACATAGCTCTGATTTGATATTTATTAAATGGGAATTATAGCAGCTTTGGAAGTCATGTTTCATTTTATTATTGCACGTTCATATCAAATGCTCACTTTTTTCCCTTCTTTTTTTGTGCTTAACATTACTTATATTTCCAGAGATCTTGTGACAATATGTATGGATATGTGAATATTGCATTGTTAAGGACAATAAGAACAAAACGGTTAATGTCAAATATAATTCAGTCAGTCAAGTAGCTCTGAGAATCGTGATCAGCACAGAGAATAAGAGTACCTCTAACATGTCATAATTCCAATAAAAAGTTACAGTAGTATAATAGAGTTCATACACATTCTATTCATTTATTTAGAGGTTGATACACATGTAACTGACATTAATAGATTAATAGCTATGGACTGTAGCAACGAGTGGCCTGAGCTTCAGTGAGTTTTCATATCTCATTATGTGGTTACAGCGCCTCTGGTGGGAATGTAACATAAACGTTCAGCTTAGAAGTAGTCAGCGCTGACTAGGAATCAGTTTCACTGCACCCACGTTCACGGAAACATTCCTAAAACCGACCGGAGACCAGCTCAACCCCAACTCCAAATAGCCGACTTTGGCGGTGCGCTGCATCTTCTCTACCGGCAACGTGGCAAACACTCGGCACTTTAAAGTTCTACTGTTTGTTTTCTTCCCGCCACATGTAGCCTACAATCCGAGGACGCGGTTAGTCATGTGGGCATTACACAGACAGGACTGGCAGAATTTTCTTTTGTTGGAATGATCCTGGAGATGGACGTGATTTCCTCTTTTCCAGCCCTGTGGGGCTGCAGCTGTCAAACTTCTCAGGGCGTGCTCCACTGTTTACTCTCATCTCACTGACCACACTCAGGCCGGGACACGCAATACAAATAGAACATAGATGAAGGATTATTCATACCCTGAATGGTATGATTTTGATTTTAAAGTATCCATTGGTAAGTTGTTTGTTTGTTTCCTTCCATTGGATCATCGTTTTTAAGCACTGCTTCCTGGTGCAGTATCAACACAGTGTTATATGGGTGAACTTTATCCCCTTGTTATCATGCAGACTTGTTTATCAGCTCCTGTGGTGAGTTTCCTGTGACATGATGTGGCAGGGGTGGATGTACTTTGACTGCATCTGGCATGTGCGAGCAGTAAGAGCCTAAACACAACATTTCACTGTGTGGATTTTTGCTCTACATACCTCAGGTGTCGAGGGAGGCTGATCTTGTGTGAAGGGTTCATCATGGATCACAGAGGTCACCCCCGGCCTGACCCCGTCCCCCACTCTCACAGAACTAAAGACAGAGAGGACTACCATAGGTATTCTCAGCAGGACAGAGACCACAGCTACCAACCGCCGAACCCCAGAGAGGGGGACAGGCACTGGGCTCAGACGGATGCCCGCTACAGGACTCACTTCACCAGTCCTCCTGCCAGACCGGAGCAGTATCCACACAACGCTCAGCAGTATCCTTATGGCTATGGCCGTCCGGAACTCCAAAGACCCCAGTCCAGGTGTGTGCAGTAATGGGACTGTGCATACAGCTCTCTAAAATTGGTTAAATTAAAAAGCTCAGTTTAAATGGGCATTCTGTTATCTCACTCTGATTTCTGTTATGATGTGGTGCAACAAATCCAGGTTCAAGTGCGTAACCCATTTGGTTGAGTGCATGTTGTCCTTCCTGGTGTTTAGTGCATGCTGGGATACTCACCTGTCACCACGAGAAGGGTTAAAGAAAGTCAGAGGCAAGCTCTGTAGATCTGTGTTTGCAGAATGTTACGCTTTCTTTAGAGATAAAATGAATGAATGCTCTGATGAAACCCTTTATTTCCAGGCACGGGTATGACTATCCCCCCCACAGCCAGTGGGACTACAGAGACAACTATGGTTACTATGACCATGACTACTATAGGGGACAAAGCGGACAACAAGGTACAGTGATAAAAGAGAACTCTGTGGGAGGACAAAGCTTTTATTAGCAGCGCTACACTCTATGTCTTGGTTAAAACAAATGAGATGGTACTTGTTTCCATTAAGATGCCGGCCAGTGGGGGGCCCAGGACTCCTCGAGAACGGCCCCTTATCCTGACAGAACATACAAGCATGAGCCCTCGGGGAGCTCCTACACTGACGAGCACAGGTGAGCCGAAAGATTTTGGAAACATTGTTTGTGATGTGGATTCATTGCTGTGGTGTTTTTGCACCATGTTTTTTTCTAATCATACAGTGTCATTTGTACATTTCTTTTTCATAATGTTATGTATAAAAATAACGATTCCCTTTTTTTTGTATGATATTGTTCTTAACAATAGTTTTACAGGCAAAACCGTATACAAAGAAACCACAAGGAAGCAATAGAAAAACTAAAAAATGCAATCTGAACACACAAGAAGGACAAAAGGTATCTTACAAGTTAAGGTGGAAGGGTTGCAATGATAAAAGAGAAGTATTCACAAAAGACTTCTATAATATGATGGTTTTTGAAGAGTTAAAGGGCCAGCGTGTAGCATTTAGAAGGAGCTATTAGCATAAATGGAATATGATTTCACTCTAGAAGCACCTGAAAAAAAGCATTGTTGTGTTTTCGTTACCTTAGAATGAGTTGTTATTACCTCCATACAGAGGGGGTCCTCTTTATGGATGCCATGTTTCTACAGTAGCCAAGAAGGGACAAACCAAACACTTGATAGGAACATTCGCAGTATTACGTTGGCCACCGTAGTTCTTCTACAAGCCAAGCACCCAGGGGACATCTCAGTTGATTGTGATCTGCAACCTCACCGTTAGATGCCACCGAATCCTACACACTGGACCTTTAAGATAAATCAAAAATTAGGAGTGTCCCAAAACCTGCAGAGGGGGAGACATGCGCTAAAGAAGTCAACGAATCAGCAATATATTTGGGTCAAATAATGCCTTAAAATCCATGGGTGGAATTTTAAAACCAATGCCAAACCCAACAGGAAGCCAGTATATGTTGGCTAGCATGGGAGTAACATGGTGTTTTTTTTCCGTGCCAGTTATTATTCAAACAGCACTTTTTCTGCACTATTTGGAGCAGGTGGAGATCGCTCTGACGGATGCCAGAGTGACGTATGCTACAGTTGTCCAGGAGAGAACAGATAAAAAGCAGTTGCAGCTTTAATGTAAATCTGCAGAAAACAAAGTCGTCCAGAGGTACCTTGATGAACTTGTGTTTGGTCAGACATAAGCTGCTGTATACAGCAATGACCGAGGTCTTCCTCTTAACATACCGACACCACTTGTTGCTGCTTCCTGCACTATAAAATGCATCCGAGTGCTAGATTGGGTTTAATGCTGGAAAGACAGAGCTGCTACTTAGTGTTGATAACATGACTTTTAAGGGTGAATCATTGTGTGTTGTAGCAGCAATAAAAAGTAGCAAACTGAATATGCATTTCTGTGTAAAAGCAATATATTGTTGCCTTCATTCTTTCAGGTATGACCAAGGCCGAGGCAACTCCCAGCATTACCTCAACCCCTACGAGGATAATCCCTCCAGAGACAATGAGGAGGTGTCCTCTTATTACCTGGGGACGTTAGAACATTCCAAAAACTCAGGGCTGTCCTCCAGCAGCTATGAGCTGAGTCAGTACATCAACGGAGCTGAGCACAGCGAGCCCGCCCCACAATCCGTCCACACGTCTGACGCAGGTGAGTGTGTGTAGTTTATTCTCTCTCACTCCGCTCAGTGTTCTTCATGACGCGGGTTCTTCTGTGCTTCACATCTCCGCAGAGCACGGGCCAATGCACCAGACGTCAGCTCCTCTGAAGTACTCGATCCCTCACGTGGTCGTGAGCTTTGGGCCAGCAGGCCAGCTGATACGGGTCACGCCAGGCTTGTCCACACAGGAGAAAGTTAGCCAGCTGGAAATCCACAGTCTGGAAGTAGGTGCAACACTAGCCTGTGTTAATAAAGATTATAAGATTGTCTTTGTCTTAACCACTGGTACTGTATTCTTGAAGAAGAGATTATTTCTGTCTCCATGCCTGCACAGGTAATTCTGGGTGAGACAAAGGAACAGCAGGAGATGAGATGCTTCCCAGGGCCCTTAACCAGGTATTGCCATTCGAGTATATTTTGCAGAATGTCAAATCTAAAGTTATTACTTGTCTTGTGAAACTTAAAGAGATTATGGTTAAAGTTCAATGTTTGACTGCTATGTACTCTGCTTTTCATGTTTTTGCAGGGAAGATCTGCACAAAGTAGATGCTATAGACTTTGCCCACCAGAGGGCAGGCGCCTGCATGAGCGGTGACGAGCTGCATGATAAGAGCTCTGCTGCCCTCCTGTGGAATCTACTGATCCTGCTCTGCAGACAGAATGCAGTACGTGGATAATGGCTTGTTGTTGCATGTGGACATATTTTGCTTAGCATCAAACAACAAATCTCAGTAATCATTGTAGGGTTGCTTTTTTTCCTGATACATTTTTTTCTAAATTTCCGTTGTTTCAGCAATTAGTTGGCTCGGATATCGCAGAGCTGCTGATGCAGGGCTCACATTCAGATGGAAGCTGGGAGTCAGACGCTCCCACACTCATTGACTTCGGTGACGGTACTACTGCTGAAGCGCCACCTCGCACAGGAGATGACCTGCTCACGGGAACCTGGAGCAGCTTCAGCTCTGAGAAGGCCCTGCAGAGCTACACTCAACTGCTGCTGGCTGGAAGAAAGAAGGTTTTCCACCTTTTAAACTCTCTATGCATTCATCATATGTTTATTATTTATTTAGTTCCTTCCCTTAAATAAAAGTACCAATACCACAATGTAATAATATTCCATTCCATTAAAAGTCCTGTCTTTAAAATCCTACTTGGGAAAAAGTAAAGAATTGAATCATTGCTAAATTCACCTTAAGCATCAAAAATAAACATATCAATTCTGCAGAAAAAAATCATTTAGATTGCAGCTGTAAACTGTTAATAACAATACAGCAGTTCCACCAAAGTAGACATCTGAACCAAGACAAGGAAGCCCCACTAGACACTACTATTGTTTGAGGGGTCACAAGCCTAAAAGGCTGGGAACCACTGGTTTAATCTGGAACGCTGCATTGTATTTTAGGATTGTCGTATGTTTTTAATGTAAATTCCCAATCTTTAAAATGTAGAGCTTTATAAAGTAGCATAAAAAGGAAATACTCAAGTTAGATACAGATACTGCAATACTGTCCTTATAGTACTTAACTGCAGGTACTTAGTTAGTTATCACCACTGGTAATCTCAACGAAACTCCAAATGCCATAATATAATTCACCTACTCTCCAGGGTGGGATGTAAATATAATATATACTCAAAAATTAATCCATATACAACAAAGATGCTAAACGCAAAATACAAAGCACATCTGTTGCCTACAAACGGTTCTCAACATGGGGTCGGCTGAGCCGGCAGCCTGCAGCTAACAGCGCTAACAGTGCTAACAGTGCGAACAACGACAACCATGCTGACAGAGCAAACAGTGTTTACCTGGGCGGAACTGGAGGCTGAGCGCTACGCTTCCGCTTCAACGTCTTTAAGCGTGGTTTATGCATCATCTTCATTATCTGCTTATTAGTCCACTATAACACTACATAGCAATAATAATTGTTTGCTGCTATATTATTGCTGTGAATATCAATAGAGAACCTTTAAATAGTTTTAAAAAAAAAGAAGCTTTGCGTTTCATCTTCGTAGTTGCCTTGGATGTCATACTGTGCTGGGATCTGAGCATTTGTCCCCTCACACTTTACAATGTGCTTTCCAGGAGGCCTTGGACTCAGCTATGAGCAGCGGCCTGTGGGGGCATGCACTGTTTCTGGCCAGCAAAATGGACAACAGGTCCTACACCACTGTGCTGAACAGGTGAGAAGAGCAAAGCCATACTGAGACACGACAGCTACAAGAAATCTGTATACAACTCTACACACGAGCCTTAATTGGCGGAAGAATGCTCCCTCTGACAAGAAACTTACGGTCTGCTTTCAACTTGTTCCATATGTTGCAGTTACAAGGAAATGTGGCCACTGTTTCTGTCATTTGTTTCAGGAGTATATCCTCAGTTTATTGTGTGTGTTGCAGTTAAGCCTACAAACGCAGCTCTTTTGGCATAGTTGTCGCACAGGGGTATTCATTGTTCGTTACATGACGCGCACTTGCTCAAAAAGCATTTTCCCCATACACAATGGAAAAGGAGCGGCTGTATAAACAGTCAAGACAGTTTTTTTATTGCTCATATTACTCTTTGTATTGTCAGAATTTGATCCATTTGGTCCAATAACATTCGAAAAGTTGTAGAAAACGAGAAATGTAGAAAACATAGAGGAGCCGTATGACGATATGCAAGTTTTTGGCATATATTTCATTTATGGTCCCCATAAGATGACTCCTAATGATTTTGGTGACCCTTTGACCTTTTCTATACTGCCACCGTGAAGCTGACATTTGTTGTTTAAATTCAAATGTCTCAACAGCTCTTGGATGGATTGCCATGAAATGTGATACACGCATTTTTGTTCCCCTCGGGATGAACTGTAATAACTTTGGTGATCCTCTGACTTTACTTCTGGCCTCATCATCATCAGATCTGAAACTTGAGTTTATGACCGACAAATTGCTAAACTGACACCCCTTTCATCCTTCTGTTTAGTGCTGATTAGCAAAAGTTAGCATGCTAACATTCCTAACTAAAACGGTGAACATGGCAAACGTTATACCAGCTAAACATAAGCATGTTAGCATCGTCATTGTGAGCGTGTTAGCCTGCAGATATCACCCCGTAGCTCCACTGTGCCTACCAGAGCTGCCAGCATGGCTGTTAATTTGTGGAACTTAAAATGATCATGCCATTTTTTTGTACAAAAATATATTTGACAATTTTCATGGGTGTTATTGCACCTCCAATCAATATTTTTATCAAAGACAATTCAGTAATGAAGAAAATCAACGGATGGCACTCCTACAGCAATCAGCCGCAGTCAGAACTAAGAGAGGAAGACAAATGTGATACTTGTGACTTGTGAAGCACATCTCGGCTCTGTCCAATAAGTCCCGTGGCTTTCCACACCCCTGCACCCAAAAATAATTCCCTTTATTTAGAATCTGTGGAAGGTAATTACAGCTCTGAAAACAAGAGATTAGACCTCTGGAACACTTCAACTTGGCTTCCTGTTCGTAAACACTTTCAAAAGAAAATAAAGAAAAGTTTGATATTTTTGTATGAGGCAATAGATCGAGTTTGTTTATCAGTGGTGTTTCTAACATGCATTTGTCCATCAGGCAAAAGTTGAAAACTCTATTAATCAATCAGTAATGATTCTCTATCTATGTGAGCTCAGTGCGCTGATCGACATTAAGAATAAATCATTGCACCATAACGCTAAACTAAAGTTTCTGTGAACTATTTCTCATGTAATCCAATCCAGATTTACAGACTATTTTGGCATCTGCAGAATGTCTCGCAGCAGCACTTGCCAGAGGAATGCCTGGGGGAGGGTAGATAGCCAGGCTGATTTTTTTATTATTTGTGAATGACATCAGCATGGTGTATCACTTCTTTACAGACTAGTAGCAGCGACGACTCTTTAACTGATAAGATTTATAGGTGTGCATTGAGACAAACAGCTCTTTTGGCAGGTTTACAGGCCAGCTAACTGCCAGTGATCCCCTCCAGACCCTCTTCCACCTGCTGACTGGGAGAATCCCTGTTGTATCCATGGTAAAACCCCCCCCCCCCCCCGAACATAACCTCTGCGCAAATCGTCACAATTGCAGTTATTGTACTGTTAAGACATCAGTTTGTAATTTATTAGCTAATAAGAGCCATGTGCTGTATGCTCTTTGCTCTGTACCCAGTGCTGTGGAACTGAAAAATGGGGAAACTGGAGGCCCCATCTGGCTGTTATGCTCTCCAACGAGACGGGAGATCCTGCCGTCCAACAGAAGGCCATCGTCACCATGGGGGACACGCTCGGTACGGACTCACCGACTAAAACGTTGCAATGTTGTCTCTGCACAGATATACGAGCTGATTGTTCTGTGTTGCTCTTCCCCGCTCAGCCTCCAAAGGCCTTCTACATGCCGCCCACGTGTGCTACCTGACGGCCGGCGTCCCCTTCGGGGTATTCACGCAGAAGGCAGAGAGACTGGTGCTTCTGGGCAGCAGCCACAGGTGAGCTGCGCCATTTATCTGCCATTGTTATAAGAAGAAATGACCAGTAGGCAAGGCTGGTCTTTCAATGCTTGTTGTTTTAATCTTCTTTTGTTTTGTTTTACCTCCTATGTTTGCTGAGATGATCTTGCTTATGTTTGGTTTGCTATGTCCTCTCCTCTCCTTCAGGCAATCCTTTGAATACTTTGCCACGAACCTTGCCATTCAGTGCACTGAATTGTATGAATACTGCCAGTCACTTGGGGGCAAATGCCTTTCACTACCATCCTTTCAGGTAGTTCCCATATCTCACTGCTTTTTAATATATAATATTGTTCTCATTTGCAGTCATATTTATTCAAATTTGATGCTGAACATTGCTGCGTTGTGGTCAGGTGTATAAGTTCCTGTATGCCAGTCGACTGCTGGACTGCGGCCTCGCATCTCAGGCCTTTCATTACTGCGAGGTGGTGGGACGGGCGATCCTCAGACAGAGGGAGCCTTTCTTTGTGCTGACTGGAGAGGTTGTTAAGGTATTCACACATCCTCCTACACACACATTATGTCTCATGCATTTGAGTACTGTAGTCAAAGTGATTCATTGTGTATCAATTGAGTTGTACATGGATGTACTGCACGTGTGTGTCCTTTCTCCTGCAGCTGTCAGACAGGCTGAGAAACTCCGAGGGTCAGTTCAGTGAAGCAGGTGTTAGCGGAGCCGGGCAGGAACCCAACTGGCTGAGACAGCTGCGTGCCATGCACCACAGTTTGCAGGTGTGCTTCGTCATGGTTTTGATTTCAGAAAAATGTGTAATCTTAAGGGAAAATATGAAAATGAGGACGTCTCTTGTTTTTTTTGGCTGATCAGAAATTGAGTTTCAACAGGAATCTTAACCGGTTGGCTGCTTTATTTCCCAGCAACAGTGCTGGGGAATGTTAAACTATATAAGAGAGTGTTAGAATGTGTGGAATGACTAATAATTCAGGAGACAGGGGCCTTCAAAGTTGACCCATATTGGACACCCACCCCACCTTAAGGCACAAATATAAAAAATAAACACACCAGTACGGTTCCCTGATCGTCGTAAAGCAAACAAACAACGTTATCCACAAGGTCAAAAGCCCACTTTTGGTCCAAAATGATAAAATATGGTGTTTGCACACGATTTCGGTACCGATTCATGTCACCTTCCGGATGAGTTGGAATATCTTTGGTGATCCCTTAACGTTTCATCTAGGGCCAGCATCAGGTCAAAATGTAACTGGTTTATGACCAAATACCTGCACAACTAATGACATTCCCATCAGCCTCAGCTGTACTGTGTGTTAAGCGCTAATTTAGCAAATGTTAGCAAACATGCCAAACTAAGGCAGTGGACATGGCAAACATTATACCTGCTAAACATTAGCATGCAAGCATCGTCATTGTGAGCATGTTCGTTTGCTAGTGTTAGCATTTAGTTGCAGCTAACTCTTGTTTGTCTTGTTTAGAGTAAGACTATATAAGTGTCTACATTTCTTATTTTTCTCAGACGGGGGGATATGACTGTACTGAAACATACCAGCCACCACCTGGGGAAAGTGCTTTGGCCCATGAGGGTGGCAAAGTGTCCTTAGGTAATTTCCTATCCTCTCATTACTTCAAATGATGCAGCTGTGTGGCCTGTTTCCCATTCGAGAGCAGTGTCTGTTGCACTTGCTTTCTTGTATATCTGCTAATGAATACTCAAAGGATACTTCAAAATGTTGATTTTGATCATTCTACAGAATCGCACTTGAATGACCTAAACCGTGACATCCAGAGTCCAGAGCCAGAACTCCTTTATTACAGAGGCACTGGGGACCAAGCAAACCTTGAGCATCAAGTTGACGGAATCACTGAGGAAATGAACGTGTTATCGTGGGACGATAACAGAGCTCAGGACTGGTACGAGACGTGCAGCAACATGCCTTATCCACGTCTGTCAACGACATAGAGTGGATACGACACCCATTGCTAATGGGCATTATGTCACTGTCCTCTCTCTGTTGCTCGTCTAGGCCGCACGCCAATTCTCCGATGCCAGTACCGTTGGTTTACGCTCCTCCAGCGCCCACAGTGACTGCAAGCCAAGCCTTCAGTTATCATAACACAGATAGTGCTGAAGTCAGAGCTGCCTCACCACATTGTCCTCTGAGTAGTCAGCCATCAGCAGCAGAGGGTGAGAATCTAATGCGAGATCATTTCTTTCTCCATTCAGATATGTACTATGGGCCGTGGGGAGTCGGCTTGTGTGTGATGTTTGTGATTTCTTCTGCAGGGGCGGGGTCGTTCTCTAGAGCAGGCACAGTGAGTAATCTTTGTAGTAGTCTTACAGATAAAAAACACAAAGATGGCACCCTCCTGGTTTGATGTTACATATGTGATCTTTTCCTGGACCAATGTTTTCCCACTGTGTTTCAAGATTTGAGCCCTTTTTAGTGTTGTTAAATGTTTCCAAAAAGCGACCTGGGTGCGTGTTTGTATTTCCTCTGAAGATGGGGGTTCAGATGCTTGAGGTCAACGTCAGTCGGCAGGGGCAATTCCAGCAGAGCGGCCAGCAAGGTTCAGAAGGCTCCGAGCAGACCAGCGGACCTCCTAAACAGGTGGGTCAGACCTGTTGAACCACAGGTGACAGTATGCCATTTGTTGGACACGGGTCTCATTCTCTCTGTATTCGATGCAGAGCACCAAAGCCGGATGGTTTAGTGGTTGGTTCAAGTCGAAACCCAAAGATCTGCACGAGGAGAGTTCAGAGCAGAGAAGCCCGGCTCAGATGGTAAGAGTCGAATAAATAAACATTATACTGCTCAGTTTCAATTGGTGATATAAAATGTATATTTTTGTTTGTTTTCTCAGGAGCTACCACCGACTACTGGCTTCTCTCCTCCTCCCCCGCCTGCCATGTTTCCACCTCAGCCTTCCTCTGCTGGGATCAACCCCTTTTCAAGGAAAGCTGGTGAATTATGAAATTATTTTGTTTTCATTGTCAGGGTCGAATTCCTTTTTTCCTGTCTTTTTTTAGAGTGACTAAGTTATGAATATTTTGCTGAGTTCCACATTCTTCAAATATTATGTGGGATTTCTGAGGTCACGGACTAGAGGAGCTGTGTTCCTGTGTGTCACTGCCATTAACACAGTTACTGACCAGCGTGTCCAATTTCATATTTGGGCTAAAATGCAGTCATGATATGCGTGACATTTTACCTATATTAAGCTATGCAAATGTGATAGTTTTCTATAAATAACCATGTTTCCTTCCGAGGCCAGCAGCTGGGGTAGAAGCCCTGTCCAGACCATGAGCCTGTATCACAGGTAAATGAAGCTACTGAAAGATAAATACGTCTGCACCGTATTTAAGGACTCATGTCGTTACTTTGAAACCTTTTGTGTTTGTAGGATGTGGGGATATCAGACCACCTGTCATTCACAGTGCCTTTATGTCTAATGAGAGCTTCACCTGAGCTTGGATGAACACCTATAATATTCATTATATTTGCCCCCCATCCCCACCCCTCACGCATTTCTTATTAAAGGATGTCCTTTCAACCCCCCTAGCCTTGCTCACCATCATGGTGCATATAAAAACTCTGGATGGACTGGCATAGTCACTCATATTGCAACGAGCGAATGTGCTCTCTAATAGCTGACAGCGGGGAAATGACCAGTGGATGCAGGACTTATTTGGGGGAAGGGATATCTTAATTGACCCCAATAACCATTTATGTACAAGAGATTTGACCAGGACTGCCAATGCCAGCAACTGACCACCTAGCTAACTGCCACGCCACCACGTGCTGCAAGGGAATTGGCTCAATTTACATTATATTTATGAGTGTAAATCCATCCATCCATCATCTTTTTATGATCCGATGTCTATCCACGCCACTTAAAACACAATCGTCCAACGATTAAAAACACATTCAAACATAAATGAGGTGCGAACTGAATTGTGATCCGATGCTGTGTTCATTTATTAGCCTCACTGAAGCCATCCAAGCAGAGTAAGCCTGACTTTGCAAGGCTGGCAAATTATTGCACAGTGTGAACATTATCTGATTATGTTAACCTTCTGTAAAGTGAATTATATTGTTTATAAGACATTGAGTTGTGATGCTGCCAAGATGGATGATACCATGTGGTGCGAGAGGAGGAGAAGGGGTTGGGGTGTGGGGAGATTGGGAAAAACCTGTGCCAGGCAAGCACCCAACATGCCCCATACACCCACTATACAGCCAGCCAGTATTCCCTTATTGGATTAAACTGTTTATGCGCTGATACTTGCAACGCCTTCAACAAGCTTTAATAATAGCACTATCATATAAATGTCTATGGTATGACAAAGCCAATGTAGGCTCCTTAAGATGTATATAAAACACAGTAATATATGCTATTATTGCATCACCTTTTTTAATTTTGACTTCTGTCACATGGCTTTGTGTATTACAGTATTTGTCTTTGCTTTTTTTGTATCTCTGTACCAGCACATGCAATGGATTGATTACAACTTTATCGAAGCAATTGTGCCTGCCATATTGAATAAAAATTTCTTGCCAAGAAATATCTGGGTTTCCAAACGGGGCCTCTTACTTAATGTAGAACAAGTCAGGCAGGTGCGGTCTCCTTTTACCATTAGTCGGCAGTAGCCAAGTGTAGCTGGGCCACACTGGCGAGTCGACGGTCACCGCCTACCAAATAATGTGTCAGAGCATAAACGCATTTATGAAAGACCCTTTCAAGTGGCATCCGAAAAATCTCTCCCAATAGTGGAATTCTGACAGGCCGATTCCAAAAATATGATTTCTCATCAAGTCATTCACCAACGTCTGTTTTAAATGATCCCCCAGAGATAAAACATTATCATTAGTACAACAAAAATAAAAGTTGATGACATTATTTTGAAATGACCATTTGGTTAATAAATAATGTTTATTAAGATTAATCTTCAGACATAATTTAATAAGGTGTGCAATGTTGTTTCCCTTTCATCCACTAGAGGTAGAGCTCCTACATGCTCACGATTGAAAGACTCTTGTACAAACCAAACATGTTGTGCATGGCAATATGTTTAAAAAGAGCCACAGCTTGACACCTGGCCTTACCTTACACTGAGATGTATACTTAACACATTTAAAGGTTCTCCTGCATGGAACTAGCTGTACTCCCAGACTGAATAATGAATACAAAGCACCATGACGATCATTCAAGAAAGCAATGACAGACTTGATTGGCTAACTTCCCTGAAACATCAAAACGTATTAACGTGGTCACAGCAATGTGTCTCAGGAGGTATGACTGGCTTATGTTAGGGCACGTCTGTTGCAGCTATTGCTGCTTGTGCGTCCAAAAAAACTCGCTCCTCACCAGACAATTAAAAACAGCCTGCACCTGAGGATAAGTCAACATTGATAAAGCTGTTAGTTGTATGTGTATGACAGGCCCTGATGGGTTGAGAACATTAAGCTGATGCTAAAGTTGGGTATACCAATCTCTGTGTAGCCGTAAAACTCAGCATGAGGAAGTGATGGGCCTTCTGACATGGAATGCTCAGCGCCATATCCTGCTTGAATTGAGTTCGCATGTCCCGACCTTAGCCACCAGATTCAGAGAGACCCAGGCATGCTACCACAGCACAGGTTCATCATAATAAACTGCCTGCATTTCAATACATGCAGAGGGCCAACGTTGTGAGATTAGTGTTAACTCATTATTAATAACTACTAACATATCTATCCTCACTTTAAAAAGGGTCCGATGCCCTTGTAGCTGCTTTCACGTCACACCATTAATCTGTCAGCACCTGTCTTTAAACTGATTCAGACATTGGTGTGTCCCTGTGGTTCAGCACATGCTCAGCCAGCTTTGTAGCGCACTGGAAAGACTTGTCGCACTCCACGCAGACAAAGATCCTCCCAGTGCACGTCTGCTCCTGATGAAGCTTCAACATGGCCAGGAGGCTAAAGCTCTTGCTGCAGCCCGTGCAGTTGTGGGGTTTCTCTTTACTGTGGACGTACTGGTGCCGCACGAGGCGGGAGGCCATGGCAAACGCCACGCCGCACTCGGTGCACTTATGGGGCCGCGCTCCACTGTGAATGGCCTCGTGCTCGATCAAGTTGGACGACTTGGTGAAGCACTTGGAGCACACCGGGCAGACGTGCGGACGAACTCCGGCGTGGATCTTCTGGTGCTCTGCCATGCGACTGGCCAGAGCGAAGGCTTTGCCACAGTCGGGGCAGGAGAAAGGCCTCTCTCCAAGGTGCTTCCGCTCGTGGCGCTTCAGGGAGAGGGGTTTGTTGAAGGTCTTGCCACAGTGCGTGCAGGGGAAGGGCTTGTTGTTGGTATGCATGTTCCTCTCGTGCTTCCGCAGGTCAGAGGAGCGAATGAAATCCTTCCCACAAGTGTCACACCCGTAGGGCTTTTCACCGGTGTGTGTGCGGATGTGCTTGCGGTAATCGGAGGACCAGATGTAGGTCTTGACACAGAAGGGGCAGTGATATGGTCTTTCACCCGTGTGGAGGCGCTTGTGCTGCTGCAGCGTGCCCTGGTGGGAGTAAGCCTTGCCACATATGTCGCACACGTGTGGCTTGAGGCCAGTGTGCGTTTGCAAGTGACTCTGCAGGTTGCAGAGCTTCTTAAAAGCCCAGTTGCAGTGGGTGCACTTGAAGGGACGGTGCTCTTTGTCGACTCTGTTACGTTTTTTCATCGCGACCAAAAGTCGAGGGATCTTGTCATCTTCGCACTTTTTAAGCAATTTCTTCACTGAAGGACTATGTACATCCTTTTTTTTGGTCTTATTCCCGACACCACCTGGAGAATATTCCTCAACATTTAGCTCTTTGAGCTTAGACGCCCTCTGGTTGGCTGAGGCGTTACTTTGTATCGTATGGCTCTTTAAGCAGTTAATTTCCTTCTTATTCGCAGCATCCAAGAGCACTTCATTAGATCCGCACACTTTATTGTTCTCAGTATGTGTAGTGCATTGTGACAATCCTTGACTGCTGTTGTCCATCACGTCTTTAAATCCCGTGAATTCTCCCGGTGAAAGTTCAGCAAACTTCTCCACGAGAGACCAGTTCGGTGTCTGAGGATTCAGATAAAGGATTCCAGCTTCACAGCTCTCCGAAAGTGAGTTTGTTCCACAAATTGCGTCAAATGAAGAGTCAGTCTTCACATGCGAAGGGTTCATTAAGAGCTGTCCACCCGAGAGAGGAGAGGTGACAGAATGCCTTTCTCGGTGTTTCCTATTACTTCTCTTTTCAACTGGCCTGTCGGACGTCCGTGGGGAGATTTCATCAGCCATGGTCACTTGAAATCATGCCATGAAATCATCTGCATGAGTTGGGGAGTTCCGGACAATACGCCTCCTTAAAAAGACCTAAAAAATACACAGAGCATGTTATCCTCATCTAAGCCTAGTGTGTCTTCATTATAACTTAATTTCTTAAATAAATGATCATATCAAAGCCTTCACATGGATTAATTGTTTTATTGTATAACTATTACCATACAGGCCGGCTTACTACTTACTTTGCGGCTGCATCCACCATGACCTTAGGTGTATCCTTCACATAGCTTTGCATCTTGCAGTCACATGGCACATGAATTACCCAAACTTCCATGTTTCTCCATAGACTCTCCTTATGTTCCCATTTTAAAAAAGTCTCGTGAATGTTAACTTCCCACATTAAAAGCATTTCACAGAGCTAAGCTTACTCTGCGGCCTCCTTCCGAGCAGGTCCGGTTGAGAAGATGCCACAGAGATATCCAAGCCACGGGTCGTGATGCAGTCGGTGGTGTTAACGGGCGGAGTTTTGGCAGCAGCCGTCTCTGGGACTTGGTCAGCATCTATCCTGCTGGTCAGCAACACCAGTGATATCTCCACAGCCTGGCTCAGCTTACCTTTTTAACTGACTTAGCGCATCGCCTGTTTGCATATAGCGAGTGAGAAGGTTTCACAGAGAACGTCCCAGACCTACGTTCATAGGAATACAAACAACCAATACGTCAACTTTCGTCCTTCCGCCGTATCGGTGTAGCAGGTTGGCAGCGCATTGGTATTTTAATGAACTATTAAGTTAAAAGGTCTCGCGTGCGTTAATTAATTTAGCCAATTAAAGCAAATGCCAGAAATGGCATCATGTATGTAACCTACATCACATTACTAAATATGCTACTTAAGTGTTTTACTGTGTCATTTACATTGACACGGCCCGTTTTCAGTGATGGAATTTGTGATGGAACTGTCTAAGCTTTCATTCCTATTTTAAGCTCATGTGCAGTTTCTTATAACGGCCTCAACGTGTCGCTGTTTACTTGCTGTTGTTATGAACCCACAATCCACAGATTGTGGAAAATCACCGGCTCCATTCAACAACAAGAGAAATCCGTGGAGATCTCGTTTTAGGCCAGCCTTTATCTCATTGTGGCCATGTGTATTGTTTACGCAGAACAGAATGTTCTCAATTGATAAAGAGAGTAAAACGATTTCTTTTAAAATATCTTTTCATGGAAACAGAGTTTTTTTTTAGTATGTGTCCAATTTAGGACTTTGAAGAAAAAACGGTTGAATGGTTTGAATTTGGTGTGACATGTTCAGCTCTCAAGATGACAAATAAGCTGCAATTGCAGTTCCTTCAGTAGGTGACCTCGTATACCTTTCCTATTGATGATTTGGGAACAAAATCATGTTGCATTCAGTGAGGAGGATGTAGTTACTCGGCACGCACTTATCAATATTAAGTATTGTTTTTATTCTCAAGAACAGGCACGTATCATCACCTTTAAGAAATATTGGCTTCCTTGTAGGTTTCCTCGTACTGCATCTTTCCTGAATGTCCCGATCAGACAGTGCCCTCTCTCTTACACCGTAGAGACGAACAGGCCTCACCCAGCTTGCATGTATTAAGTAATTGAGTAGTTCTCGTGAGACTCATGTCGTGATTGAATGGACAATGCTGGCACTCAGTGCATTTTCCCAGGAGAGCAGACTGAAATTTGACACTTACCAAATAACCTTCTCAAAGCTGTGATGCACCTTCTTCGTCGACACATATCAAGTTTTAATCTCCGTCGACTTCCTCCTGCGTAGTTTCCCACACAACGACACCACAAACATACTGTATTATCAACAAAAGATGAAGACAAAAAACACAGTTGTGTGTTTGTGAAATTGGAAAATGAGCTGTAGAATACAGTAAAAGCAAAGTAATTGTTGGCCGACATTATGACTGGCATATCCTTTATGTGTCTCTGCTGTTGTGCATGTGTGTGCACTATGCAGTGTGCAAGGAGTTTCATCTCCATTTGAAGTCATGACTCGTCAAAACAATGTAAGTTGTTTCCAAAGGATTACATTACAATCCAGTTTGTAACTTTTACCTGTTTGTGCAAAGAAAAGTTGCAATTAAGTGAAATAAAGTCAGTCAGAGGGAGTCGAAGTGTTCTCAACTCCTGCGTCTTTGTTTTCGTCAACTGGAAGCTGTCACAACAAAGCTGTGGTGGATGATACACAAGTTTTTTTTTTAGTGACGCAGTAAATGAACCGGGATGCTTAAGCTGTACTAACATGCCGTATGAGGAGCATCACCCAGGAACTCCCTGTTGGGATTCAAAAGATTGTGGTTTGTTGGTTTACTGGGTGTTCCTTTCCAGTTAGGAAAGTTTCCTCATGATCGCGTCAAAGACATAAAGGAGGAGGACAAATACATGCTTGCTTGCGCTGAATTTGAGAAGTCTGAGCTTCAAACACATGCTGTCCATTCATATGAAAGTATCACTTCACAACATTATGGTATTTCTATTCATCCTGACTGAATTAGCAGGACACGTGTAATCTGTGAGGACTATTTGTCCCTGCAGCCGTTGGCCTTATAAATAACTCAATGTGTTTTTTATATTGTGTTAATTGATTGTTTGATGGTTATGTGGTTACTTGGGGATAATAAAGATATTCTTGACCCTTGATCCAATCAAAGAGGTCAAAACAGTTCACATGCGTTTTGTTAGAAAGTTGGACGTATACGTAACTCACTGGCACACTGCACAGAAAAAAAGTGCAGAGTCATTCTGTAGGAGGGGCGGTTCTTGGATTTCACGGTGGAGTAGAGTAGACCGCCTTGATTGAGAACATACCAGATTTGGAAATTTTCCACAGAACACAAGGTGTCCGGCTGTGGAAATAGTTGGATTTGCTTCGCTAAGGATCCAGTTGCATGAGTCGTACCATTTACACGACCCACTTTGAACCTCTTAATGCAGACTTTATACTATCCAGTACATTCTTTCCATGTAAATTTGGCTTTTTGGGTGATTTTTTTCGTGCAGCTTTGTAGCCTATTTTAATAGAACATATTTGATTTGTCTTGTATTATCGCACAAATTAAATTGCTGGTGGAATGATTTCTTTTGTGTCTTTAAAGCTACACATTTGTGGCCAACAATGACTTGTTTGGTAAATCATATATCATATTTAGAAGAAAGCTAACAAGCTTGGCACTGCCAATGGCATGCAGAACGGACAAATCTAATGCAAGTCTAAAAATAGTACAAGGAACTGTTGTCCTAAAGCACTTATCTGATCTCAAAGGACACGTGAGAGTGTCAGAGAGCTGGGAGGGTTCCAGTGTTTTCTAACATCGTCTCCTAAACTGCAGGATCCCAGTTGATGGGCAGTCTCCCTCATCAAAGTGCCACCTTGCTGCTTTCTCTTGTCTCTCCCTTTTTTCATAAATCATCCCAACTGTGGAAGTAAGTTAAAGGAATAATGGTATTCTGAGTCTACAAAGTCCCTAACATGGATCGTCAGGATAGCAATTATCAATTCGGGAGGCTTAAAAACAGAGGCGGAGGCTTTTTATTCCCATTCACCAACGATTTGCCCTTTGTCTTTTAAAAAAGCCCTTGTACCTATCACAGCTGAAGGACTTTATTCTCTGCTCTATTGTGACTGTGCCTGCCTTTTTTCTATTAACATCTAAAAGGGACACTTTGGGAACTACTCTTGATTGCTTTCTTGTTGAGTCAGATGACAAAATAAAAACAGAAACTGAAATTTTGGGAAATATGCTAATTCTCTTTCTCTTCCTTAGATGAGGAGATTGATGTGTGATGTGTGAACTGATGTACTTAGCATTGTTCACTTGTGATTGGATCACCCAAAACATATTCAAACATTACAATGCAGGGCCACTCATTCTCTCGTTTTTGGAAAGTGAAAAACAAGGGGTGTTAACTGGCATTACATCAAAACTTGCAAAAGTCAGCAAAACCAAAGGAAGCATTGAGTCAGCCTGTCTTCAGTGGATCTCAGGCTTTAAGGCAAAAAGGAATCAAATTGGTCCATTTGTCTCGGGCTAGTTTTCTTTTTTCGGACAGCATGCAGGCTCAATACGTAGAGCATGAAACAGACATAACATAGATAAGATGTTGATTGGGCACTGAACACTGAAAACACATGGCAGAAAGAACACGAAGAAATGTAAAAGGTACAGCTGTATCAGTACCTTTTCCCAGAACTGCAGATTGAGGTGTTTTTTATGTTAGCCTACTCACGTCAGGGCCATGTCTGTGTCTAGTTTCTGTTCACTCTTTTCTTACTGGTGTGACCATTGTAAAACTCCATTATCTTCGTAGCTGGAGGATGGGGGTGGTGTTGCCTTCACGATTCCTGAAGGCCGGGGCAGCGGGGGAGGAGAACGCACAACGAGAGGACTGGTGAAAAAAACAGTCCAGAATGAAAGTCCAAATAGATCAATTGTGAAAACAACTCTCTAATCGTAAACATTAGCGTTGATTAATTGATGTTGTGTGATTACATTCAGAGAAACCGTGGAAAAAGGAACAATGGTTATAAGAGGAGTTTATTACTGATTATGTTGTCCTGCAGGGCAAAGACTTGTTTGTTGTGATGAAGCCATTACAAAAGGCTCCTTAAAACCTGGCAGAAAAAGAACAAAATGCTCTCGACTAGCAGACACATGTAGACATGAAAAAAAGAGAGAACTCTCTGTCCCAGCCGTGTGCTAGCAACCCGACACCACAGAGAAAATCAGGATGAGAGGGGAAACAACTTTCAGGTTTTCAGAAGTGTCTGCTCAGCCAATCATAGAGGCGAAAAACAGGTGACGCTTTGACCCAGGTTTACCACTTCTTTTGTTTGCAGTGCTATTTAGTGAAGTTCAGCTTACTGTACGTGCTATTTAAGCATGCAGCAAACACATATGATCACACTGATATGGATACAACACAAAACTCCTTGGCACGTTGGGGGACAAATCTAAAATTCCTGCTCGGTTTGTATTTGTCAACAATATGGTGGGGAACTCTGACGGGCCAAAAAGCAGGTCTCTTTATTAACTTTAAAAGTGTTCCCGTCAACTCACAACCTCTTTTTTTACGAGGGGCTCCTCTGTGTGGGTGTAAAAGGGTGAAATGTTTACAGTGTTTTCACAGAATGAGAAAGAGATGTTGACATAGAAAAAGTTTCAGAACTGACATTTTTGTAGAAAACCTTGCTCTGTTCAGAGGTAAGAAAACCCTTTGAACACCTCTGAAGCTCACTAATTAACATTAATAAAACATCACATAGTTATGTAACCCCTCATTAAAAGACACATTGCGATTTTTACACATTTTGGTCTTTGTACAGATTAAACAAATCAGATGTAACATGTTAATTAGAAGTGCTGGTTGGCAGAGCCAGGCAGCTGTTCCCCTGTCTCTAGTCTTTATGCTAAGCTAATTCGCTGTTGGCTGTATAGCTTTATACTAAACAAACGGATATGAGGGTGAATCTTTCTTGATGAGCATATTTTCCCAAAATTTTAAACTGTTGCTTTAAATTCCTTAAAGCTTCCACCAAGAGACAGTTAGCTTAGCATAAAGTCTGGAAGCAAGGGGCAAGGGGTTAAAAGAAATGGCACATGCATCCAGTGTTCATGCTCAGCTAAGCTGACTGTCTCCTGGCTGTAGCTTCATATTTATCATACAGTCATGACAGTGGCATCGATCTTCTCATCTAACGCTCAGTAAGAAAACAAACGTGTGCGTTACCCAAAATGACGTGTCGGGGAAATTGTAATTAAAAGCGGAGCTAATCTTTGATTTATCCCACGAATCCTGGGAATTCAGATGTGTGCCTGCAGTGTGTATGTTAACATGCATTGGACTTATTATTAGGCCTGTCACACACTCGCATGTTTATTTTCACAGGGTCAGCTGTGGTGCATCCGTCGGACAGCCATAATGGGACACGCACACAAGCACACAAGGAAGCTCCTTGTTCAAACATTACTGAGGTTTTTTACGTGCTGAATTTTGGATGTAACCCGAACTGGACATTGTTATGTCCCATTATCCAGCCGAAGATAGAGTAACTATATTCAATGTAATAGTCACAAATACGATCTGAGGTTTGAGGTCAGATTCAACAGTTACAGTCAGGACAGCTCTGATCACACAACCGCCATGTGCTCGTTTGGCATGTTGATGACGTCTGACGGCGATCTGATCTCGGTCAGTGCTCCTCCATCCAGGGTTCTCTAACCTCTCAGTCTCACTGTGCCGCTCTGCTTTCACAGCTGCTCAAGTTTCCGTTCATCAGGCCAGCAAAGGCTGCGACAGTTTTCACTGCATGTCCTGAAACCCACCGCCGCACAGGATAAGGCTCTGTGGGGGGGTTGAGGATGAGGGGGAGGGGTGGGACAGAAGACACAGCAAATCTCTTGTGAAGAGTGATAGCGGTGAGGCTTATAGGGCCTCCAAAGCAGAGGAGACTGCATACATGTGATGAGATTAGAGCTAATCTAATGGCGCTTCATTTGCTGTTTGGACTCAAGACACCTAATTCATTCTAGAGCCTGTGATTGAATTGCAGTTCAAATGCCTTTTTATTTACTATGAATAATCTGTGTCGTGTGATGAAAAGAGCAAAGTAAGATTATGTAGCGCGTCTTTAAATGTGGTACTGGCTTTTCAGGGTATGTTTTAAAAAGAGTTTCAGTTTGTGTCCTTTTGTTCTGTGCACTATACATATCCTTGACCTGCCTGTTGTTATGTAATAGCCTGGTATAGAGCCCCACCCCCGCCTCTCTTCCCCACACCAGATTGCATGAGTTTAGACTCCGGCTGCCATGGAAACGAGGCTCTAGGCATAATGGTCTTCTTCATGAGACCTCCTCTTTGTTCAAATCAGCCCGGGTTATCTTATCTGAATTATCAATGTTTATCTGTACACAGCCAGTACACAATGGGGTCGGATAACACGGGAGATACTGAGGAGGGGCTCCACTTGTAATTTAATGGGAACAGGCCAATGGGTTGTGCAACAGTAAATGTTTAATACAAAACATGCACACGTAAGAAAAGACATTTCAAAAGAATGTCAACCTCCTCAGGTATCACTACAGTATGTGCTGACAGACTCAATCAATAGTTTGTTTCCAGTAAAAGTGACTCCCCTTCTTACTTTGTACTGAAAAAGGACACTGAGCCACTGACTGAATGTCCCCATATGTCTCTTTCCAAGTGGCATTCGTGTGCAGTAACATTTTCCGAGCTGAGCTTATGGACAGGATTTAGGCCAATGCAATGTGATTTGTTCATTTGGCAGTAAATCCCGAACCAAATCGAATTTGGTGTGTTTTTTCAGACTGCTGCTAAATACATTCCTGTGGGCAAATGGCACCACTCGCACAGTGACTCCAGTTTTACTTTAGGGCACCCACGCTAAGTCAAGAAGAAGAAAACAGAGCTATTATTACTAGAACTATTACATAGCTTTATGGAAATAATTAAATGCAATTTCCCATTGTAATTAATAAATGCAATATACATTCACTATTGCACTATACTCTAACTATAACCTCATCCCAGTCAAGACGGATTTTAGTCCAAGCTGAATGTGAAACCAAACTGGGGACACCAATTCTGTCCCTATAAGGCAAACCGTCCCTCCAGTGGTGTGCAGTCCCTACATCTTACAGTGTGACAAACACACCTACAGTTTCACTGAATGAAGTGATTCGGTAACTACAGTACTTTTTATTCCCCGGTGTGTTTACCTGGTGAACCTCAGAACCTCACCTTTAAATTTAGGCAAAATGCTGACATGTTAAGGATAAATCACTCAAAGACAAATTCACTATACATAAAATACAATATTATTAGTTAATAGCAGTTATTAACATCTCAGTTTTAATTTGTTTTATTTTGATGCATTGAGGACTCTTTTCTTCCAACTACAAGCCCTATAAATAGTTAAAGCAGACATGATGTTCTCTGTGATCAGTTACCAAACTCATGCAAGTTTTAAATCTTTGCAAATAGATTTTCATGAGAGGGAACCAAACGGAAACCAGTGATTGTCTGGAAGGGAGGAAAAATATATTGAAATATCTAAAACACCAGAGCATGGTTTGAACATGCTATTGAATTTGCAATAAATTAGTTGTAACATGCAGAAAAAAAGTTGCGGGGATTCTTTAAAGTTGAGAAACTGTATGTTATTCATCGGAAAGAAATCTTGTCAACCAAACCAGATTCATGAGATAGGACAGGTATAACATGGTGTAGATCAAGTGAAACAGTGTAAGTGAAGAGTTTTCAAGGAGTATATAGCACATTATTCATGTGCCTTTTGATGTGAGGATGACAGTCAATAGTCAACCTTGCATGAAATATTAATGATCAGTTTATCTTATTTAACTGTGAAAATGTGTACTCAAATTGCTATATTATATTATTGAGTAGTTAGCAACTAATAACAGTAGCTAATGTGATGCGGTTAGTAATGCCGGACACCGTACAACTAACTGTTAAAAATGTTTTTGATGGGTTTTCAGGTCTTTTCAGGATTTGTAGAAGGAGCTCCCCTCCCTGTCTTTACTTTCCTGGACTACTTTAAGAACGAGTCCATAGGTTATCGAGGCTCGTGTCAAAACAACATACCAGAAAGACAGCTCAACCATTGTGTTTGCATTGATCTGTGACATATAAGAGTCAGCAAAGTCAGTGCGCTCACATGCCTTCACAGTTAATCATAATCCTGTCAAAACTTGTTTGAAAAGGTTTGACGTCATATTGAAGGCAGCCACTTGGTCCGTTTTGCATAAGTGGGAAGACGTGAATGTTCCCGTGCCTTAAGTAGCCACCACTTGTTAAACGTTACAGCACATTTCCCCTTAATGCCGGTCACATTTCAGAGATTCAAATCAGCCGACAGTCTGCATGTGACCAACAGGCATGTCAGAATTGAACTTGAGGCAAAACAGGACGCACGTGGGATTAATTCATTCATTTCTTTGACAATGACACATGAAAAAACATATATGGATAATTAAAAAAATAAAACATACAAAAGTAGATTGGCTTACATTTGACCCTATCTATACACAACATGATACAACCACCATTGTGACAGAGGCCAAGACTGCTAAAAATGATTCTAATGCCTCTGGGATCCTTTGGGTCAGAGTTACAAGATCTCCAGAAAAACCCTGCCGCAGTTATAGACAGTTTTTCATCAGTACAAGTTAAACACAGTACGGTTATGTCATTCTATACATATATATCAGCCATGACAAAACATGTTGGCAGTGTTTGTGTTGGAGATTAAGACTTGCTGCATACAACTGAACGCACAAAGAATGCAGGTATACCTCAATTATTGTTTCACCTGTCAAGTAAACAATTGAGAATGATAAAGATCAATCCATAAAGTCTGGGAAAAAAAGACATGGCTAGATATAGTAATGGTAATGACACTTGGTCTTAAGACTGTTCATTTGCTGTGATCTGTGGGCTCCTCTCCCTCTTCCTTGAGTAAACAGGTGCGCACCATGGCCTCTGTGACGATGTAAGGGTCGCAGTTGGCGGACGGACGGCGGTCCTCGAAGTAGCCCTTCTTGTCCTGCCCCACCGAGCGAGGGATGCGAATGCTGGCTCCCCGATTGGCCACGCCAGCCGAGAACTCGTTGATGCTCGAGGTTTCGTGGCGGCCGGTGAGGCGCCTGGCATTGTCGAGCCCGCCTTTGGGGTCGTAGGCCCGGATGTGGTACATGTGTCTCTTCGCCAGCCTCTCGATCGACTCCTCGATGATTCTGCGAATGAAAGGGAATTAGCAAGACACTCAAAAACCTCAATTTAAAAAACCATAGCACTGTAATTTACGACCCTGCAGCAAATGGAAAACTCTTTCTTACTTCAGTCCGCCATCCTCTCGCATCTCCTTGGTGCTGAAGTTGGTGTGGCAGCCGGCGCCGTTCCAGTTCCCCGTGATCGGTTTGGGGTCAAAGGAGACCACCACGCCGAAATCCTCACACACTCTGTGGAGGATGAAGCGAGCAACCCACAGATGATCCCCCATGTTGATGCCTTCACAAGGCCCAACCTGGAACTCCCACTGAAACACAACAGAGACTGCGTTATTAACTGATTGTGAATTAGTATTACACAATTTGACAACAAAAAATGTTGAAGTGAGACAATGGAAAAAATAAAAAGACAAAGGGACAATACCTGAGCTGGCATGACTTCAGCATTGGTGCCACAGATGTCAACCCCAGCGTACAGACAGGCTCTGTAATGCGCCTCCACTACGTCGCGTCCGTACGCCTTATCTGCTCCCACTGCGCAGTAATAAGGCCCTAATCAGGTGGAAGGAAAGTAAATATTAAAACTCTGCTGGCCGTATTATATTTCAATAAACAATGAGACAAGCTAGAGACCCGAAACCCACCTTGTGGACCAGGGAAGCCGTTGGAGGGCCAGCCGAAGGGATGTCCATCCGTGCCCAGGATAGTGTACTCCTGCTCCATACCGAACCACGGGTGGTTATTCTCCACCATGCTCATGATCCGTTTACAGGTGTTGCGCAGATTGGTCTCTGTTGGAACGACAATGGGAATTAGCTGAGATTCAAGACGGCTCTATCTGCAACCACTGTCAGGCTTGTTCGTATCTGCTTTTACCTGCAGGCTTGCCGTTGTACTTGAGCACTTCACAGAGCACCAGCTTGTTGGGGTCTTTTCTGAACGGGTCCCTGAACATGGCTGCAGGGATCAGGAACATGTCGCTGTTGGAGCCCTCTGACTGGTACGTGCTGGAGCCATCAAAGTTCCACTCAGGAAGATCTGACACAGAAGAAATAACAACAACAACACCTGAAATCAATCATCTACTCCAAAGTCTCAAAAAAACATCACGTTTTAGTGCATGCCGTGCATGTGGACGTGTGGATCATATCGGGGGCCAGATCTTACCCTCGATCGTCTTGGGTTCAGAATCCAAAGTTCTGGTCTTGCAGCGCAGTCCCTCTCCAGAACCGTCGATCCAGATGTACATGGCTTGAACCTTGTCCCCCTGAGGGAGGTCCATGTACTGGTGCTTAACAGCTTTGTTCAGCTTAGAACTTGTTGAGGTGGCCATTTTCTTGACCAAAACCTGCAGAGTGAAGAGGACAGACCATGAGCCTTCCACAGTGGAGACACTATTTCTTCATGTATGTGTAAAATGTGTACAGCCAGAGAGGATGTCATGACAAAACACACGGGGCTGACAAAGAAAAGGTTCAAGTTAATGTTGAAAGGAAAAGGGAACACTAATTATACAACAACAGCAGTATCAGTGAACCAGCCTGCAGCCCTTCTAATTCTCTGCTGCTCTAATATATAACTACTAGAAGGAGACAAAAGAAGTAGAAATCAACATTGACTTAAGATTACATTACATAGAGTTAATGTAAGAGGGAAGTCAACAACCGATCGTTGACATAACAAGTAGAGACAAAGGGAAAGTTTCAGCAGCATGCAAAAAGACAACAATTTATCCTTGTGGGAACAAATCCAGCAGCAGATGTCCGCGTGTGTGGAAACGTCCGACAGCCCTTACCTTATGTGTTAAGTATAGGAAAATATCAAAAGTTTATAAGAGCCTCTAGAAGCGTGGTCTTTGTGGAGCTTTCTATTGTCTTTCATTCCTGCTTCTCCACTGCTCCCACGTCTGATTTATAGTGCTGCTGCTGCGCTTCTCCGCCGCCTCCGATTGGCCGAACACCAGCACGTGATTGGTCCGTCATTGGTCCGTGAATCAATGAGGGCAAATCACACGTGACGCACGAAGAGACATTTTACTGGTAGTGATCAACCATTGATTGTGGTCAACAAGTGACGCGTACTCAAGTGATATAAACCGAATTCTTGTAAACACAACAACTCATCCTCAGAAGTTACAGATGCGTTACAATGTCAGCAGTTAACACAGAGCATGAAGTACAGTGAACCATTTTAAATATGAATCTAAGTCTCAGATAACAATATAAAAGGTGACATATGACTTCAAATCAGAAAAATAAATCCACATAACAAGTGGTGTAATAAGCAAGTTATTAGCAAATATATTGCTTGTAAACTCAGATATTTTGATCGACTGGCAAACATGGAAAATATTAAAACCAAAACCTCCAGCCTTGTTTTACTATGCAATTACATTTTAATATACTGTATATATGTTTTGATACCAGTGGTGGATGATGAAGTCATTTGCTTGAGGCAAGGCAAGTTTATTTGTGTAGCACATTTCAACAAGGCAATTCAAAGTGCTTCACATAAAACCATTAAATGCATCAAAACATAAGGAAGAAAAGGAGATTCAAGAACATTAATTGAAACATTATAAACAGTCATTAAAACACTAAAAAGCAGTGTAAGAAATAAAATACAGTAGTAAAATGCAGAAATGCAGGAAATTGATTAATATCCTTGCAATTGATTAATATCCCTGAGAATTGTAGCAATAACACAGTTTAAAAACACACTATTACAAGTATAAGTCAGTACAGGGGCGTCGTAAGGCCTATTTTAGGGGGGCTGAAACCCCCCTAAAATGTTCTTCAGCCCCCCCAAATAATTTGGCATTAAAAAAAACAAAAACTTTTTTTTAATTTTTATTTAGGTGATATCATTAAATTAAACTATTGTTTCTCACATGGACAAGTTATTTATAACTCTAACATGCTACATATGTGCATGCGTTCTGGTTTGTATGCTTTCTCCCCCTTCAAATTACAATCCTGCTCATAATAAAACAAGTAAACAACTCAAAAGTTGACACTGTCAGGTCCATTCTCCATCCATTGTGTGTGGTCTCTTTAAGAATTAGGATTTGGGAGTGACGCGGATATGAAAGCTATTATCCGTCTTTCCTTTACAAGCAGGAAAATTATTTCTCTCTCTTTATTTGAGAAGAGTTCATATTTGTGCTGTCAAATTTCACTATGACCCTCAAATCCTGTCTCTTGTGTTATCATGTACTGAATGCAAGCAAGACTACAGAGCAAAATCACACTCTTTCTGATTGACCCAATCTATGACCTGTCTGAAACAATGGATATCCACAGCCCCAAATGGGCCCCAAAAAAAATTGCTGCACGCTTAGCGTGCAAACATTCCACTCCCCTTGGGGCTAAGCCCCCCCTTTCTTTGAATCCTAGAAACGCCCCTGACTCAGTATATTATATCTCACTCAGCAAAAAGTAGCAAAGATATTGTTTTCTTGGATGATTATTAAGGATTAATGTGGGCAACATTTTGATTTGGTAGCCGTTCGAGCTCTGAACTTCATTCACTGTTGAGTAGTTTAATTTACAGCTGTACGTCGTGTTTTGTAAGCCCATCATACATTTTGTTTGTAACATCAGGATCTGTTAGGAGACTATAACCGCCACATAAATGTAGTGGTGTAAAAAGTCGAATATTTGCCTCTGAAAAATAGGGCATGAGAAGTATGAAGTAGCAAAAAATGGAAATACTCAAGTACAAGTGCTTCAAAGTCCTTTTTGTTTGTGTGTGTTTTTTTTGTTTGTTTTTCCTTTAACTTACAGAAAGTAAAAAAAAGAAAGAAAAGAAAAACACAACATCAGCTAGTCAGTGTGAGTGTGAAGGATCAACTGGATCTCTCTGAGCAGAGAGAGAGAGAGAGAGAGAGAGAGAGAGGGGGGAGGTAAAGAGAGAGGTGCATTAGTAAGTGTCCACCATTACATTTCCATTAGTGTCAGCAAAATGTACCTAAAGAATAAAAAGTAAAAGTTCTCATGATGCAGCAGAATAGCCCCTGCCAGTGATGCATGATTATGTTATATGATTGTTATATAATACTGCTATTATATACTACACTACTATATGATTGGATAATTATTACTGATGTGTTAACTTGTAAGCAGCATTTTAACATTGTAGTTGTTTGATGTTGAGTTCATTTTAACTTCTTTATATAAGCTGTTTAACACGTAACAGGTCTTTGTGACACGAACTCAGGGAGACTCGGCTGAGCTCGAGGCTTTTCTGCCAACAGGCCGGTTACTCGCTCCCCTGAAACAAGTTTATCCATTTAGTGCTGGCTGAACAACAGTAAGCTGAGAGGAAGAGTCATTGTCATGGCCACAGGGAGAAGTGATGATTAAGATGACACATGATGTTTAAGGTAAGCCACAACCAGGCTGTGGGCTTAAGCAACTGAATCCTGACTGTAACATGTTACCACTACTAAATACTTTATGGTGAAATGTAAACGCCACTGAATCTATCTGTGATTTGACTTCATTGACATTTTCAAAGAGGGGAGTAAAAAGCATATCAATTTAGATGCAGATCAGTTGCTTGTAAAATTCTAATAATTACAAACCTCTCTTTACTTCCACACGAGGCCATCCGTCAATTTCTCTCATTATTCTACCATCAAATGGCTCCAGAATAAACCAACCAACACATTTACGCATTTACACTTTGCAGTGGAAGAAACTATGCACAAACTCAAATGCATGAAGTGAAGGAAAGAAACCTCTGTATAAAAGCAACAACAACTCTCTTCCCTCAAACTAGCAGCACCCTGGAGCGCTGCTGGGAGACCAAAGATTAACCTTTTCTTATGAGGTTGTGTAAAAGTACAGAAAACTAGCCACGAAGGAATCAGAATAGTCAAAGAAAAAGTCTGTTTCTACTTTGGTTGTGGAAAGTTCTGCAGCATTTTATACCTATAAGTTTGTCAATGAGAATAGCTAGACTCTTCGTATGTATATATATATATATATATATATATATATATATAGATGTGAATGCATGTTCAGCATAACACAGAGCAGTAATGCTTGCACGTGAATGTTTTCAATTTAAAGCATGTGCAACAAATCTGTGCAGGGCCTCTTCTATGGTTGGCTTCGGGGAGTGTAGTCAGTGTGCCATGGAGATTTGCTGAATAGGACAAGTTCACATAGAAAGAGGACAGTTTCATTATGGAGCTCCAAAGACACCAAGACATTTACTGTACGTGGGAATAAAGGCCCACAACAATGCAATGCAAGAGTACACTCTTCGTTCAAGTAAAATAGGAATGATGTGACCCCCAGAACCAATGATTTCAGATGCTGAGACTCCACACACCTGCATTAAACACACTCTTCTTGTCTGTTCCCTTCAGTCGGCCCCACAGCAAGAACACTTATGGTGACATGCAGACTGACAGCTTGTCGTTGTGTCCTTTGCTTTTTTCCTTGTTGCTGTTGATGGGAGGCCTCACTGCAGCTGCTGACCCCTTTGGCAGGAGCTCCCGGAGCGTTTCACAGACTATCTCTCGAAGTGGTCCATGTCTGTGTGTTCCATCTAACACAAGCAGACCGACAGCGTTCTCCTAAAGTCAAGTCTTCCTGCAGGCTCGGATCAGCACTGAACTATGGCCAGCGTTGTTTCATAACCACAGCTTTGTGTCACATGCTGTTCACAAAATGCTTCAAATCAAACTTACATGCCCAGTCACATAATTATCTAAAACTATGAACACCTGTTTACAACAGATGAGCGCTGTAAAACAAGAGATCTGTGGTCAGACGGGTACATCTAGTGGCTACATGGCAGAAGAGCAGGAAGTTGCTCCTTTGCATTGTGTGCTGTTGTGAATTCTTATTGTCCTGGTTTGTTCTCCTCAGTTACTGGGTCTTCATCTGTGAGAGACGAGTAGGACAAAAACATGCAAGGTCCATTAAAACTCCCATTATGGAGCATCTCAGTGCGATCAGACATAGAAATCTTCATTGGTCGGATTTTTAATGGTTTAAAAAAGATACATTGTCAGATCTGATGTAGACAGTTGGTCATGCAGTCAGACAACAGAACTCTGCTAGATGTTCCGTTTGAAGTCTTCAGAGCGTGGGTTTGAATGAAGATCTGTCCAAGTTAATGTTTTATATATATATATAGGATACTACATACACTGCCGTTTAAAAGGATTAAGTCACCTGCTATATTGATGTTTTTCTTCTTTCCTTCATTAACTATTTTTACAGAGAAACAGAAGGCTATAATTCACACCAAATGTCTTATTCACATTTGAAAAAGCTTTGGCCCCAGAAGAAGAAGTATTAAATGATTAAAGCTTACGTTTAGTCGATGTCCCCCCAGTGTTACATGACAGGGGAGAATACCGTTGGAAACATTTCCCCCCTTAAATGCCCTTCCTTTTTGAATTCGTCTTCCAGGCCAGAAAAAACACAAGTGACCCGCTCTCATCATTGAACCATGACGATGCAACTGAGCTCTAAATATTGAGTCACTATTGCAGTCAGCCCAGCGGTTATTTCGAAGAGGTTTAAACTGTGATTTGTCACTTAGTATGTTGAGCTGATATTCTGTGACTTCCAATAGAGCTAACCCTACACTCCCCTTCTATTTATATTGTAAAGTTTTAAGAATAGCTTTGATGAAACAATACGCCTGTTGGTATTCAAGCTTGTCATAGGCTGCATTATTGACACTGAAACAGAAACGTATTCCTATTTAAATCTGCACACATTTGGATGATAAGCTTCCATTTTCTTTCACTAATGATTTGTGATTGTTTTATTCAACTGTGGCTTAGAGGGACCTCTGTCTCTTTCTGCTCTTTCTGTTTGAACAATTGCACAGCGTTTTGTTCTCCATGTACAAGACAAACCCTTCATACGAAAT